AAGAATAATAATAAATTCTAAGGTAATTTTTTTTCCTGGTTGCGGACAATAAAACACAAGCTGGCAACACATTAAAAGTCACAACACTTTATCCTAACAGGTAAAGAGCTTATTTTGCAATACTCTTAATGTTGACAACTGTCTTTTAAGTGTCTTACAAAGTTCCTGTCACACACACACACACACACACACACACACACACACACACACACACACACACAAAAGAAATGAATTTTTACTTCTGTTGTACATAATTCTATCTGATTTGTGACTATGGTTCCAAATGCCATAACTTTGTATTGCTTTGAGATATCAACACAAAATTTGGCCCAGATGCAGTTGACATGATTGTGAACAAGCCCAAACTTGATTTCATGCCTAGTGCAATAGTCATCATGAAAAACATGAATAATAACAACATAAATTGCATCAATTTTTCTTGGGTTTCCTCAGCAGTTGTAACATAAGAGCCCCAAACATGATCAAAATATTTTTGTACAATTTAAAAGGTTTTCTATTAAATGAGACCATGAATTTGATGCTACTTAGTTTTTTGTAGAGTTATAAACTCTTAATTTTAAGTGTGTCTTAGATGTGAAATCTTAAAAAATGCCTTCAGGTTGTAAGGGGTTAATAAATATCAACATTATAAACAGAGATCAACAACACATAGTTCTACTGATCACTGTGACACGCCTTGCTATAACTTGTGCTTCTTCATTTCATGTATCTTCGTATGTATAACAGCATCATGCATCTCAGTCCCCCGTAGAACTCCACTGCTCTTATGGCATTTAGAAATACATGTTCTCACTGAATCAGGGCTCTTTCACTGCTGGAGATACTCTCTGCTTCTCGGAAATAATATCGACTGACATTTCTTTTCACGAAAATCCGAGCTGAAATCTCAACTGTGTGTGTGTGTGTGTGGAGGAGGCGGTTTAATTAAATCATACTCGTTGGTGATATTATTCATAAAAAGCAACAGCACCAAATAAAAGCTTCTGCTTTTGTACATCTATAAGAACAGAAGCAGGGAATGTGAAATAAGTACAGCTGTTTTGCATTTGAGTGACAGAATATAAAATTTCCCACAAAACACAAAATTCAAATGATGCATGAAATTGTTTAAAAGTGACAGAAAAGTAGGGGTTGCATAGACTAGTCGACTTCAATTCTCTGCCGTGACGCTTTAAAGGGATACTCCACCCCAAAATGAAAATTTTGTCATTAATCACTTACCCCCATGTCGTTCCAAACCCCTAAAAGCTTCGTTCATCTTCAGAACACAATTTAAGGTATTTTGGATGAAAAGTGGGCGGCTTGTGATTGTATATATATAAAATTATATATATAGATTATATATATATATAAAAATACTGACAACAAACTTTTGAACAGTAGTGTATAATATCACACAAAAAATACAATTAAATTATGAGAAAAGCCACGGGAGGAAATGACATAAGACAACTAGAATACTGAAACCAGGTTTTAAAATTATTTTTAATTCCTTTTCTTCTTCTTCTTCTTATTATTATACAAGTGTAATTTCTCCTGAAAATTTAAATTAAAAACAAAATTACGTGCAAAGCTACAACAGACCAAAACGTCTGATGAAAACCAAAGCTCTACAGAATCTTCCTCATTTAAACATCACTGTACAAGTGTATCAAAATGTGCATCTTTGATCAATAAATGCACTCAATCTATTTTTACTAGTTTGAAATTACAAGTGCATTGGAAACAGTCCCTGAAGAGGCCGAACATCAGTCAGTCAGACGCGCTTCACAGCCCAGAAGGATTCAATTCATCGCAATGCATCCATCTATAATGTTAACGGATCTGTGCTGTTCTTAATTAGACACATTGATTAAAGCCCAGGAGCGCCGGAGAGAGAAAAACACAGCGGCTTGGTGAAAACCCTTTGTGATGTATAGACAGACGCGTGAGGGTGTTAAGAGTAGCTGAAGCTCTTCTCACATCCTTCAGACGGATTAAACAGAAACAGCCTCTTCTCCAGAGACGCAAACACATGGGAAAGACAGCTGATGGAGAGCATGGAGCCAATTCAAACACTATGACCTGCCTAACTAGACAGCATTACACATTTATCAGAATATCAATCCCAGATTTCTGAAATGGAAACCAGGGATATTTCCTATTTGAGTGGTCAAAATGTAATTGAAATCTCCATCTCCATCTTTTTTTTATTTTTTTTATTAAAAAAACAGGGTCAATACATCTTTGAATGTTTTTGTTTTTGTGTGTTGCCTGTACTATTAATATAATTATGATGATGTTTAGTTTTATTATTATGATTCTTCTTTTTTTTATGATTTTGATCTAGTTTTAATACCATTCACCATACACTATGAAAATAGTAAATAGTAATCATGGTAAATAGCAAGCAGTTATATTATAACAAAATATGTTCTAAAAATAAAACTCTATTTGACAGATATTTGTAACAATTCCTGTTTGTAATTGTATTTAATATATTAACTGATTATGCTGTATACAGCCATTACAACTTTTGTAACTTTTCCATTTTTTTTTCTTTTTTCTTTCTTCTTCTTCTTTTTTTGTGCTTGGAAATTACTCTTACTTTCTTTAATTAGGTTTACTATTTTGCATTTCAGGCTCATAAAAATGCAAAATAAATGAAAAATAAGCATAATTAGGAATTATAGTAAAGATACATTTCCAAAAGTATAAACATAATACAACATTTGAAAAGTTATAATTAGTGTAGCCTATACTCAGTTTGTGAAAATGAAAATGTTAAATATTGTAAAAAAAAAAAAAAGTACAAATATTTGTTAAGTACAGATTTATTTATCATAGGTTCTCATTTATTTTGTTTTTGTAAAGTCATCATTTTGATCTGTAGCTATTTGCAATAGTTACTCTTTGCTGTTTCTCATAGTGTGATGTTTGGTGAATTTAAAAATATATATTTTTAAATAGGGTCAGTTTCATCCTCAAACAACATTATAATTAATAATTATAATATAAGTACATGGAACCAACAACATTTAAAAAACAAAGACATACAAAAACATATTGCCCCCAGTTTTTAATTCATAGACAATCACAAATGCGATTTCAATGATACTTTGACCACTGAACTAGGTAATGTCCCTGGTTTTCATCTTATTTTGGGGATGTTTAAAATTGTCGACAAAACAATCCACACCCTATTCAAGCTCAGCTGTTAAAGCATTATTACTTTTAATTTAAAGGGGTCATATGATGCGATTTCATGTTTTCCTTTTGTCTTCGGAGTGTTAAAAGCTGTTCGTGCATACAGAAGATCCGTAAAGTCACAAGGATTAAAGTCTCAAACTCAAAGAGATATTCTTTATAAAAGTGAGCGCTCAGCCACGCCCTCCTAAAACGCCTCGTTTAAACACGGCCCCACAGGTCTACGTCACTGTGTGGGAAGATTTGCATAACACCGCCCAAATGTATATGCAAAGAAAGAAGGCGTAACTTTTATTCTCGCTGTAGTATTGTTGTTGCCGCCACCGTGTTGTGGAGACGCTGTGTGTTTCGTTGTGAAAGCGAAACTACTTTGTTTGGTCTTCCAAAAGAGGACACAACTAGAAATCAGTGGTTAAGTTTTATTCACAACACTGTTCCAAAACAGTACAACCCAAATATTCGAGTGTGTGCAGCGCATTTTACGAAGGAAAGTTTCCTGAACCTGGTAAGGGGCGTAACATTTCCTTCACACGCTTGAGATATTCGGCCAATCACAAAGCACTGGATCGCTGGCCAATCAGAGCACACCTCGCTTTTCAGACCGATGAGCTTTGTAAAAATCGACGCGTTTCAGAAAGGCGGGGCATAGAGGAGAAACAATAATGTACAGTATGTGGAAAATAATGTATTTTTTGAACCTTAAACCGCATAAACACATTGCATTACACCTAATACACAAAATAATGTTCTTTTTAGCAACGTCATATGACCTCTTTAACATGAATAGTTAGTATGTAACTGGCTTGAAAGCATAACATTTTTTTGATAACTGATTATAATAGCGCTCTGTTCTCATCCAAGTTATATTCTTCATAGCTAAAGTAGTGTGTGCAACCAAGTCATCAGCGTAGCTCGCAGCGCCCTCTGTTTTTTGAAAATAATCACTACATGATTGCTCTGATAACCAGCGGGTTACTGTATGGATGGATTTTTTTGCAATGTATTTGTTTTGAACCTGCTGTACGGGGACGTCTGGTCACCCTATTCCAGAATGCATTGCAACAAGCTTGGAAATAATATAAAAGAGTGACGGAAATAAATTGGGAGATGGAATTCATTACCTGCAAGAGGAATCGAGGCATAACAGCATAACAGATGAGTTTGTGATAACATCAAGGACCTAAAGACGTCCGAGCTGGACAACAGGGGGCGTGTTACTGTACCTCGCTCAGGGTGGTGTAGAGCTGGAAGATCTGCCCTTCTCCCTCCACCTGTCTGACGCACAGCTTGCAGCACAGCTCACATACGCTCACGCTCTGACGCTCCAGAGTAAAGGAGCAATGCAGCCGACGCACCGATCCACTCCACACCTGAGAGAAAGACAGCTCCTGCACGGACACACAGACAGACACTTTACCTGATGTCTGTTCAGAATTCAGAATAAGAATAACATATTACGTTACTTAATCACAAATATTAAAATAAATAAAAATAATTTCAAATATTAACAGTGCAGTCTGTATATTTTTAACAAATAAACAATACTACTACTACTACTACATGACAAAAAATAAGTAATATTAAATAATCTTAAATTAAATGTTATATTAAATTACTCATTTAAATTAAAATATAAAAATTTTAAAATGAACAAATATTAATATTGAAGGTTGTATATATTTAATAATAAATAATATAAAAATAAGCAATATCAAAATACTTTATATTATTTTTATATTATATTAAATTACTTAATCCCTTAAATTTAAATATTAAAATAAATTTAAAAATGACAAAAATTAATATTCAAGTCTGTATATATGTAATAAATAATACAAAATCAGTCACATTAAATTATATTGCATTTGACATTATATTAAATTCAAATCAAATATATTTAATTAAAATAGTAAAAATATAAAATAATAATATTGATTAATATTAATAATAATAATACTATAAAATATACAAAATATATACATTTTAGTTATATTAAATCACTTTATTTTAAATGTTATACTAAATTGCATAACTTATTAAAATCATTTAAAATATTAACATACAACTCTGCATATATTTATTAATAATAAAATTACATACAAATTAAGTCATATTATATTATGAAATTGTTATATACAATTATTATATTAAAATAAATATCATTATCAAATATTAATATTTATGTTTGGATACATTTTATAACATTAATAACAAAAAAAAATAACATTGAACATTATAATACACTATGAATGCTGCCACAATTATTTACAAGGAAACAGAATTGATTGTTGTTCAATGCATGATTTAAGCTGTAAATGGTTTCTGTCTACTGTACACCATGCTCTCGGTTAAAGTTTAAATGGACTTTTTCTATCGCTGACCCAAGGTTATGTATTAACCCGCCACAGGACCTGAGATCTTCTCCCTCCCTGTCTGAAGACTCATCTGTATTCACTGGCCTTTCTTCAGATTTCTGTGTTCATCTTATTGAATCATACTGTGCTGTTTCCATGTGCAGCAACTTAGTATATACATGTGTTTAAATGTGCTCTATAAATAAAAAATGCTTGCCTTGATGTTAAGAATATCTCGATAACTCAAAACATTTACATGCTTCAAATAATTTCAGTTTTGTCTTTACCTGGTATTTGGTGAGTAGTTTGCTCTTCCACTGCGAGTGAATGTCATGTATTGACAGTCTCAGGTTGTGCTTGCTGTAACTGAAGATCAGAGACTTTGGTTCATCCAGCAGTTTCCCACCGATCTGTTTTTCTATCTGCAGCACCTCCTGTCCACACAAACACATAACAGTCAACTGTGCTGCACCATTTATGATACAATCATATACAACATATAAACATTACAGTCACTCAATATATAGTCATTTCAAATGGCTCTTATTATCTTTTAAAGTAAGAGTTTGGTGCAAACTTTAACATTCACAAGTTTTTCCCCAGAACTTATTTACATACAGTATAGAGCTTAGATAATAATAATAATAATAATACAATTCTGTGATATTAAGAGATTTTAAATGACTATGAAATGTTGTACTGCAATATATTAAATCACTGAATCATTGAAATTAAAATATTTAAATAAATTAAATTAAGAATATCTAATAATAATAATAAAATTCTGTGATATTAAGTGATTTTAAATGACTATATGAAATGTTGTACTGAAATATATTAAATCACTGAATCATTGAAATTAACATTTTAAAATAAATTAAGTATATCTAATAATAATAATAATAAAAAAAAGAAATGATATAAAAATTAAGTAATATTACATTATTTTAATTGTTTTATTATATTAAATTACTAAATAAATTAAATTAAAATATTAAAGTAAAACAAAGTTTATAAAAAATATATTTAAATGATCACATTAATAATTATATTTATATAATAACAACAATACAAATAATAATAATAAATTATATAAAACCATAGTAATCATAAAATTGTATATTAAATGATTTAATCATTTTAATTAAAATATTAACGTAGATTAAAATAATTTAAACATATTAATATTAAAAACCACATTTTCATTCAAATGTAATTTATTAAGCAAACTCATGAAGAGTCATTCTTCAGTTAGATCTAGTCCCTGACATTACTTAACCAAAATGACGGTTAGCCAATCATAACAGTGCTGATTTACATACAGTACAATATAGAAGTAAAAAAATAAAAAATAAATAAGCAGCAGAGACCGCTGTCAGAAAGGGTGCAAAAGGATCAAGAAAAACTAAATTCACAATTTTTGGTGCAAGTAACCTTGGGTTACACTTTAAGTGGGCTTGAAAGCCAGATTGGTCAGCTGTTACGCACTTTGAGCGTGTCCTGCGTGTCGTCAAGGCAGTACACTCGGATGTGATAGTCTAGACCTGCTGTGACTACAGGACCAAACACGGCCAGCTTGATTCGTTTAGCCGCTGACGGACAGACGCTCTGGCCAATCAGACAGTAGGATCCGAGAGTCTCGGTCAGGATGTGACACGCCTCCTCCCCCAGCTGCACGTAACAGGAAGTTGTGAAGTTCTCCTCTCCAACCACGACCACGTCCTAACGTAACAGGAAGTAGTGAAGTTCTCCTCTCCAACCACGACCACGTCCTGCACACAGAACACACACATTATTTACATGAGCATCTCATCACGACAGGTACAGGTTACAGTGCGATCTCACACACATACAAACCTGAATATATATTTACAATCTTGTGGGACTTAAATTATTATTCATTTTTCATTATTAATCTTATTATTTTTAAGTTATACTTTACTTTGCCCTTTTCCAAGGAAATTTTTGTAGGATTTTAAAACTGCAGTGATATACATATAAGTAACAAATACAAAGAATAACACAGACAACTGACAAACAAATAATAATACAATCAAATAATACAAAAAAAAAATACTACTAATAAATTTTATTAAAATCACATAATTTTATTAAATTATAAATGATCATTAATTGTTTTCTTAGCCCCTACAGAAAAAAGTGCTTCCTAGGAAAAACACAGAAAACATTTATTAATAAATAAATGAAATATGTATATATTTGCAATTTAAATATAATCTATTTTATATATTAATTAATTAATTATTAATTGTTAAATGTATATAAACATTTTTAAATAAACCAATTCTTGCATTTATGACATCATTTTATAAAAAAAAAAACATTCACATTATTCTTAATGAATATTCTCAAAAAAATTACTGTAAAAATGCTTTTAATAGAATGTTTTTTTTATCTAAATAAATAAAAGGCAGTACAACCAATATTGCAATGATGTAATTGTAAAATTGATATTGTGATTGATATTGAATGTAAAAAATACTGATCAAATTATACAAATATTATATGATAAATTTCTTTGGTTACAGTATTTTTTGGGTGAGGGTTGTACTTAATTATCATAAAAAATATCATCAAAATGCAAACACTTTTAAAAGTGCTAATAACTTGAAAAAACAAATTTCTTATTTCTTCTTTTGATTTTGGAGTGAAATATGACCCGGGACACACACACACACGCACACACACACACACACAAAATGCGAGTGTGTGTCTGAGGGAATCCTGGCCCTGATAAAGGAAGCAGATTCGTCCTGATAAATACGCCCCATTCTTTTTCCCGCTCCACTCTTGCAATAATTGAATTTTGTGTTGTCTATTTGTAGAACCCTGCCATGCACAGCAGGCCAATTTACCCTGCCTGCCTTCACTGATAGTTACATTTATTTTCCAGTCATGTTTCCCTCTCTCTGCAGGATAAGTAGTTTATTGAAATGGAGCGGCTCATCTCCAGAGTTTCCCCGACCTGATTCCTCTCGCTGCCACGCTTTCATTCAGCCAGAGGCTGTCCCGATCGGCCGTATTCAAATTCCTCACCTCCCACTGTTCCTGCTGCGTGTGGCTCTTGAGGATGATTTGCCAGTTGTCAGAGTGGGCGTGTGCGCAGTGGTGGAGAGTGAGGATGACGGGACGGGTCAACAGGGCGCCCGCGGGACCGCAGCTGACCACAGTGCTGAGCACAGCCTCCCCGTCACTGACCGCTGGCCTGAGAGAGACAGACACATTTAAAGGTATAGTTCACTCAACGATTTAAATTCTGTCATTTACTCACCCTCAAGTTGTTCCAAACTTGTATGAGTTTCTTTCTTGTGTGGAACACAAAAGAAGATATTTTGAAGAATGTTGGTAACCAAACAGCTGACGGCAGCCATTGACTTCCACTGTATTTTTTCCCCTACTATGGAAGTCAATGGCAACCAGCAACTGTTTGGTTACCAACATTCTTCAAAATATCTTCTTTTGTGTTCCACACAAGAAAGAAACTCATACAAGTCTGGAACAACTTGAGGGCAAATGATAAATGATGACAACATTTTCATTTTGGGGTGAACTATCCCTTTAAGATTTTTGCCTACTTTTCCGTTTTCAGCTTCTGTTCTCTCTGAAATCACTGCAGATGCTACAGTAACACACACAATGAACCAGAACTGTTTGAAATTTTCAAGTTAATAATCAGTTACATCAAGTTGAACAATAACACATTTGATATGAATTTTATTATAAATATTTATGAATAACAAACATCCTGTGCTCTACATTTCAACATTCTCAGAAAATAGGTACAAAAGGTGCTGTCACTGGGGAAGTACTTTGAATTACAAAAGCTAAGTACATCTTTGTATCTTATTCAAAATATCTTCTTTTGTGTTCCACACAAGAAAGAAACTCATACAAGTCTGGAACAACTTGAGGGCAAATGATAAATGATGACAACATTTTCATTTTGGGGTGAACTATCCCTTTAAGATTTTTGCCTACTTTTCCGTTTTCAGCTTCTGTTCTCTCTGAAATCACTGCAGATGCTACAGTAACACACACAATGAACCAGAACTGTTTGAAATTTTCAAGTTAATAATCAGTTACATCAAGTTGAACAATAACACATTTGATATGAATTTTATTATAAATATTTATGAATAACAAACATCCTGTGCTCTACATTTCAACATTCTCAGAAAATAGGTACAAAAGGTGCTGTCACTGGGGAAGTACTTTGAATTACAAAAGCTAAGTACATCTTTGTATCTTATTTACCCCTAAAGTACATAATAGTACCTTAAACATACCTATTAGTACTTTAAAAGTACATATTAGTAACTAAATGGTACATATTAGTACTTTAAAGGCACATATTAGTACTTTAAAAGTACATAGTACCTAAGTTTACATTGGTAAAAACAATTGATTTTCTATGCTGCTCCAGCAGAATGTAAATTATTTTTTTAATTGTTTCATTGACATTTTTATTCATGCATATTGTTTATGCAGAGCTGGATAGGTTGCTGAAGTTAGCTTTTCCCCCCTATCATATTCATTACTTTTAATTTGCTTTTTTCCCTCAAGTACTTGCTTACTCATATTTTTATGTGTGTTTCATATGTGTTTTAGCATTCAACTACAAAATGACTTGCTTATTTTTGGGCTGTGTGTTGTGTGTGTGTGTGTTTTTTTTACCTCATGCTCTCTGTCCTTTGTACGGACACAAACATCTCATAGACGCGACCTTGGGGAATCGCACCAGCTGGAACCAACAAACTCACACCTGAAACACATAGAGAGACTGATTCAGAGAGAAACCGCACACCTCGTGCTGACTAGTTTCAAGCATCAACTTGATTTGTCTGTCCTTACTGAAAACAAAAATGTTGTGAAGCAACAAAATCACAGCCAACCAGAACATACTTGATGTTTAATATGCAATATGGAGCAGGATTTTAGACCAATGAGACTGTACTGAGGGCGGGGCCACTCGGCACAACATGAAAAAAGTGATGCCATTACAAGTAGTGGCTAATTAGGACTCAGACTCAGAATTCAGATGAATGCACTTTCATTATAGAATGAAAAATAGAATACCAGAATGAAAAAGACAACAATATATAGAATGACAGACAGAACAATATATAGAAAAGGAGAATGATAGAATGATAGATAGATGGATGGATGGATGGACGGATGGACGGATGGACGGATGGACGGATGGAAGGATGATGGATGGATAGATAAAATGATAGAATGATGAACAGAATGCCAGAACAACAGTACTATAGATAGAATGATAGAACGATATAGATAGATAGATAGATAGATAGATAGATAAAATTATAGAATGATAAATAGAATGCCAGAACAACAGTATAATAGATAGAGCAATAGAACGACAGACAGACAGACAGACAGACAGATGATAGATAGATAGATAGATAGATAGATAGATAGATAGATAAAATTATAGAATGATAAATAGAATGCCAGAACAACAGTATGATAGATAGAGCAATAGAACGATAGAACGACAGACAGACAGACAGACAGATAGATAGATAGATAGATAGATAGATGGTGATTCATATAATGTCAGTGGAGTGTTATGAGTCGATTCTTCAGTTCATAAAGTGGATTACTAGCTGCCGTCCTCTGGATTCATTTATCACTGTCACTGAAGGTGTTCATCCTCATCACACGAATGTGAGATTGTGAATGTGACATTTCCATCGCATCTTACTGGAACCCGTTACAGCCATACACCTTAATTAGACTAATGAAGGACTATCAACACAATCAATCATCATAAATTATATCACACAGCGATTCGTAAATATGTTGGACACTCAGCGAGGACCAGAGTGTGATTGTGCATCATAAATCATACATAAATAAGGAGGGGGGGGGGGGGG